TTTTATTTCTTTTGCCATGTAAGCAGTAAGGGTAATTCAGCCCTTTTACCTTTATTTGAACAATTAATATAAATTATAGAGTGGGGCGACGATTATGGGCAACTCTCTCTCTTTTCTGAATTCTTCTCTTCTCTTCGTCTCCTTTTCTATTCTCAATCTTTCCCTTGTTTATTTCACATTGAACCTAGGACTGATTGCAGTCCTATTCGACTACTTATTCTAATGGTTGATTGTTGCTAGTTGATTAATTGTTTTTTTTTTTTTTTTTGGATTCGTTCTCTTTTTGTATCTTGTATTGGCTATGGGGATATGGAATTGAGAAGGAAAAGTTGTGGAGAAGAGTGGTTGATTGGGTAGACTGTAAATATGGAAGTACACCTTTAGACTGGTAATCCTTGCCAATTCATAACATTATAGGAACCGAGACCCTTTCACTAAGTCAGGCCCACAAAACTCAGCCTAGGCCCATGCTACAGAGAGCATAACTGCAACATAGGGAGAAATCATGCACATTACTCCACCAATCACGTTCGTGTATGCCAGGAGGCCATGTCAGCTCAGTTAGTTAGAAGCCCTATTCATGAATCATGCATTGTAAGGAAGAGTTTAAGTGGCTAGTTGCAGAACAACAGAATCAGATCTGGATTTATTCTCTCTTTTCTCTGTCTCACCATTCTATTACTGTAATTATTCATCTAGGGGATTCCTCCCCTGTAGTTTACTGGTTCTAAGATTGAGTTCCATCAAATGGTATCAGAGCCTAGTGTCAATGCCACAGACAAAGCCCATGGTGACTGAGGAACAAGTGGATAGGATCAAGGTGGACCTCCACAAGGTGGTAGGATAACTGAAGGACATTAAGGAGAAGCTCTCGGTGATGGCTTCTAAGTTTGAGAAGCTGTTGACGCGAGAAGGAAGAAATGATGAACAAGAAGCTTCTGTGTCCACGGAAGGTAGTTCTAGATGAGTGGGTTGGACAAGAATCTGAACAACCAAACTGGAGTTCCCAATCTTCTCAGGTTAGGACCCAACCCTGTGGCTCTACAGAGTAGAGCACTACTTTGAGTTTCATGAAATACCTATCGCTTAAAGAGTTCTCATGGCTTCTATGCATTTGGATGGTGAAGCCAACTGTGGTATCAATTGTGCTGTTTAGACCCACTTGCAGTTAACTTGGGCTTGACTTTGTAGAAGCCATTGGTGTTCGATTTGGACCATCGGGCTATCAAGACTTTGATTGAGAGTCTAGGTTCGCCCTGCACGATGAGAGTGGTGGGCTTAATCATGGGCCGGAGGGTCTCAGTCCTTATTGACAGCGGGTCCACACTGAATTTCATCACCACTCCTCTCTCCAGGCGTCTTGGATTTAGCTATAGAGCCCATCATTCTGTTCTCTGTACATGTTGCTAATGGACACCATCTACAATGTGAAGGGGTGTGTCGGTCAGTGGAGTTGAAGATACAAAAAGCCCAGTTTTTGGTGGATTTGCATCCTTTGGATTTCTCTAGGGCAGATTTGGTGTTAGGGATCCATTGGCGATGCCAATTAGGCCCAGTGTTATGTAATTGTGCCCAATTGACCATGGATTTCACATTGGATGGACAACATCACAGCAATTGTTATTTGAATATGACGGTGTGTTTCGGGAGCCTGAGATTCTACCACCTACCAGGGCTCATGACCGCCGGATTCCCATCATTCTGGGTGCACCCCCAGCCAATGTTTGGCCATATTGTTACCCTTCATTCCAGAGGACTGAGATCGAAAAGATAATGTGAGATTTCCTGGAAAAGGGTCTCATATGACCTGGCAACTGTCCCTACTCCTCACCTGTCTTGCTAGTAAGAAAAAGATGAGACATGGAGGTTTTGTATTGACTTAAGGGCTCTTATCAATATAACAGTAAAAGGTTGTTTTCCGATACCCCTAATTGATGAATTATTGATGAGCTAGGGCAGGCTAGATATTTCTCTAAGCTGGACTTGCATTGCGGCCATCATCAGATTCACATGCACCTTGAAGATGCACATAAGACAACTTTTCGGACTCCAGATGGGCATTATGAATTCTTGATCATGCCTTTTGGCCTAACCAATGCCCCCTCTACATTCCAACACCTGATGAATGATGTTTTCGGACCAGCCCTAAGAAGCTACATATTGGTCTTTTCGGCGACATACTTGTTTACAGCCCAAGTTGGCCTAAACATTTAGAGCATCTATGTGCTACATTGGACCTTCTCTGCCACCACCAGCTGTTTACAAAGCGCACCAAATTCTCATTTGACCTAACACAAGTGCAATACGTTGGCCACATGATTTCCAATGGTATGGTCCATACCGATCCAGAGAAGGTGTCTAGCATGATTAACTAGCCCTAACCCACCAATCTCAAGTAGCTTCGTGGGTTTCTAGGCTTGAAGGGTTACTACMACAGTTTTATCAAAGGATATGGTGAATTGGCAAGCCCACTAACTAGTTTGCTTAAGAAGAACGGTTTTCTGTGGATCCCAGAGGCTGACAAGGCTTTCTGTTCTCAAACATGCGGTTACTTATTTCCCTATTCTTGTTTTACCTGATTTTACTAAAGAATTTGTTGTGGAAAGTGATGCTTCAGGTAAGGGCTTGGGAGCTGTTCTCATGCAGCAAGGTCATCCAATAGCCTACTTTAGCAAGACTTTATCTCCGCACCAGCTTAAGTCAACATATGAGAAGGAATTGATGGCTCTCACACTAGCTGTACAAAAGTGGAGAGCCTATGTGCTGGGTCGAAGGTTCACAGCCTGAACAGACCACAGGAACATTAAACACCTCTTGGAGCAATGCATATTGGGCCCGGAACAACAGAAATGGGCTTACAAGTTGCTGGGGTATGACTTGAAGATAGAATATAAGCCTTGGCCTTCCAATGCTGTAGCCAATGCACTTTTGAGACCACCATCATTAGCTCTCATGGCTGTGTCCCGACCCCAGTTTCCCTTGCTGGATCAGCTGAAGAACGAGGCTCGTGAAGACCCCACTCTAACTGAAACCCGAGCTCGATTCTTAGAAGACCCCTTGACTGTTCCTGGTTATGTGATGATAGGTTCAGTCTTGTTCTATAAAGGGCGGATGATTCTTCCCAAGGGTTCCTCACATCTCTCAGAACTCATTCACCTCTATCATAATTCAGCCGCGGGAGGACATTCCGGGTCCCTGTGCCCTTACCACAGGCTATAGCTGCCGCCCCACTCATCTATTTATAATAACACCAAAAATAAGATTGCAATTACATTAAAGCCAAATATAAAAAAACAAACTAACAGCAGTAGTGGGGACCACAGTAAATAAAATAACAACACTAGTTATTGCTCTACATCTCTACAAAATACAAAGAAAACAAATCACCAGGTTGTTATGTCCCACCATTCACAGAAAACAATCCATCACTCACAAATAAAAATCAATCGTTCTCCACCATTCACACACAGTCCCTCTTCGAACTGCCAAATATAGGGAGTCTAAAACACCATAAAAAACTCAACGCACAATGCAACTTGAGGCATAGAAGGCTCCTATCCCTCTGGGCGATCAGTCCTTTTGGGTTCTTCCTCTTCTTTTCAACTTCTATTGACAGAAATCTTCAGCCAAACTTGTTTGAGGTGTCCTTTACAGGTCCAGTTGAGCAAGTTGATCAACTTGGCTCTGATGCCATGTGGTCAGACCTGTATTTGATAAAATAAACAAATAAAAATCCAAGTATAATCCCAGGATACAGAGCAGCAACAGAGAAGAAGAAGAGAAGGAGAATACAAAAGGAATAGAGCAAAGACAGTTTCTACCGAGAGACTCCACTGCCGCCCAAATATGACTTCTATTCATAAAAAAGTAAATCACATAAATGCCCCTGATTATGTGACTTACGACAGAAACAATAAGAACTATAAACAAGAGACGGAAAAAGACCAAAAAGACCCTGGAAGAATGTACCGGAAGATGATGCAGCCTAGGAAGATTATGGGAACTTACAGCAACAGTTTCCTCACATCAACCTTGAAGACAAGGTTGTTCTCAAGGGGGAGGGAGCTGATAGGAACTGAGGCCCTCTCACTAAGTCAGGCCCACAAAACTCAGCCCAGGTCCATGCTACAGAGAGCATAACTGCATTACTCCACCAATCAAGTTCATGTATGCCAGGAGACCACGTCAGCTCAGTTATTTAGAAGCCCTATTCATGAATCATGCATTGTAAGGAAGAGTATAAGTGGCTACCTGCAGAATAACAGAATCAGATCTGGGTTTATTCTCTTTTCTTCTTCTCTTCCTTCTTCTTCTTCCCCCTCTGTCTCACTGTTCTATTACTGTAATTACTCTTCTAGGGGATTCCTCCCCTGTAGTTTACTGGTTCTGAGATTGAATTCCATCATAACACATATGGCTCAAGCATCTGGAAGGGCATAATGTAAAACAAAGATCTTTTCTCACAGTTCATCACTTTTAATTGGGGGATTGAAGATCATATTTATTTTTGGAAGGATACTTGGTGCTGTGAGAGGCCTCTATGGTTCTATTGGAGGCTTATCACACTGTTTTCACTATTGTCCCCTGCGTGTATTCCACAATATTCATGACTGGATAGTTGATGCTTTGATGGCAACATGTTCTAAGACTCATGTTCATCTGAATGCCCAAGAGACTAGATGGTGGAGGGTGACCAATTTAGGCATCTTCTCTGTCAGCTCCCCTCAGAAGATGCTAGAGGGGCCACAATCTGGTAGCTTTCCTGGAAAAATGGAATTGGAAGGTTCATGGATAAAATTCTTACCATTAACCACCTTTTCTCCAAGGGGACGTTCTTGTTAACCAATGCTGTATATATGGTTGGTAAATTTGTTGTATCCTTGTACATGCTTTCTGTTTGAGGGATCCTCTCCCTCATTTTATTGCAATTACCATATATATTCACATCAATTTAGGAACTATTTGAGTCTTAAAATTTCATTCTGTTATATGTAATGCAGGTTTTTGATCTTTCAGATGTGAAGCCTCTAGACTTTGTTCACTATGGATTGGCTTGCTTGGAGAAGTTGGCTGATTATGGTGATGATTGTGCAAAGGATACTCGTGGAAAGATGAGGGTTGTGGTATGTTGGCTTGAGTTTATAGGTTGCTCAGTTATTTTGTTTTATCTTGTTGTTTGATAAACTAAGGTACAATGTTTTGAAATTGTAATTGTGTTGTGAATTGTAAGGGGGTTTTAATCAGTGCTGTCAAAACTGGATCAAACACAGAACTGCTTTAGTGACAGGGGGTCATTGGGTTGAACAGTTCGATCATCTGGTTCAACTGTTTGACTCATTTATATAAAAATGCAAAAAAAAAGGAAAAGAAATTCTAGAATGTCTTTTAAACCTGTTCTTTTAACAAGTTAAGCTTAAACCAATAAATATAGTGGGGTATGAGAGGCATTTCTACATGTACTTTTGTTAGGTTTGATCAAATTGACGTTTTGAGAAATAGATAGCCTAAAAACTGTTTTGGCTGCTAATTCCCATTTTTGATGGTCTAACCATCTGGTCCAGGCTAAGTCTGGCAACATTGGTTTGAACCAAATCATATTGTCAATTTGTAATTTTTTTTTTCTGATTTTATAAAAGTTTTTAAAAATTTAAAAAACTAAAAACTCTTAAAAATTAGAAAAACAGCATTGCACCAACTTTCAACCTATAGACATTATATGAGAAGATATAAATGGCACTCATGCCACTTGTATACCATTACCGATATTCAATAGATGGTATGATCATGTTTAACTCTAACCTTTTTCCTTTTTAATAAAAATGTTTTATATTGTATAGATATTTGAGAATAAATATGTTTAAGTAGATGGAATAATGACCCTACAATTCAATGAAAAAGATGACTATGGTCATCAGAATAACCTATGTTAGGTCCCTTATAGAAAGTAAACAATGGAATTCCTCCTCTCTGCATAGATGTATGTTATACACCAAAAGACCACCCTTATAAATCAAAATCATCAATTTCTAACCCCATAACCTCAAAATAGATTAAAAGGTGCAAATCCATATTGACACTTAACTATCCTCTTTCCAAAGCATAAGCTCCAATAGCCCAATATAAAATGCCCATTATAAGTTCATAACTATAAAAGTAAGAAACTATGTTCATCAAAGCATTTCGTTCTTCATCATTCCTATCATCATCCCCATTATCACTATTCACATCAACAAGCTGAATTTTTCTTCAATCTTCATATTCTTTCTCTCCCTCTGTTGAATAAACACATTTTTCTTTATCTTGAAGTAGGACTTTTTCTTTTCTTCTCCTCTTTTGTAGATTGCTAGAACCTATGGTAGAATGGATTATGATTTTCTAATCAAAAGTTAGACTTATAACTTTTTTTGATTGGTAACTTTTCTTTATTAATGATAGAAAAGGTAAATTTACAGTGGTTATACACATGTAATTGCTCCAACATTAGGGCTGATTTAATTCATAAACCAAGGCCAAAAGTTAAGCTCTAGAGGAATTTCCTTGTCCCACCTTCCAAGTATAGAGCTATAAGTCAAGCTACAGGGGAGTTAGTGTGGCTTAAAAGTCTTCTTCAGGAAATAGGGATATCTATAAAGACTCCCATGCATTTACTTTGTGGTAATCAAGCAACAATCCATATTKCATCAAACCTTGTTTTTCATGAGAGGAGAAAAATATTGAGGTGGACTGTCACTTTGTCAGTGTGTAGATTTAGAGTGGTGACTTTGTGGGCCTGCTAATAAAAGTAAAAAAAAAAGACCACTTTGTGGGCAGAGCCCATTTACCTCTAAAGAGGCAAAGTTAGGTGATTTTTTATGTAGTCATGTGGAAGTTATCTTAGGGCCAATGATGGACATTAACTCTAGTCCATCATTGTTTCCCCCCCATGAAGAGAAGCATAGTCGAATAGCTAGAAATGGGAGGCTTGGATGAATTGGAAACCTGTAATAGTAAGGTGTATTCCCCAGAATGATGCAATCTAAGGAGCAGGAAGGCGTCATCGGAAAAGGCTCTAGAAGAGATGGATAGCTTTGTGGCGCTGAGTGATGAAGATTCAGAATCCAAAGTTTGAGCTTTTCCAAGGGTAACATTGGATCACTAGCCAATTTCCATTTGTAAGGAGGACCAATGAAGGAGAGGCCCAACACCCTTTAGATTTGAAAACATGTGGCTATGCCATCCAGATCTCAAGAAGAAGGTTAAGGAGTGGTGGGGAGAGAGTAATCCAAGGGTAAATTGGAAAGGAATGGGGTTTCATAGGAAGTTGCAGGATTTAAAGGCCAAAATTAAAGAGTGGAACATTCAGCAGTTTGGAAGATTAGAAGAAATAAAACAAGCGGTGATCAATTAGAGGAGGTGGATGGCAAGGAAGTTAAGAGGCAGAATTGAGGAAAGAGATAAAGAAGCTAGATGGGGTCTAAGGAAGCAATTGGAGGATATTCTGTATCAAGAGGAAATTAGTTGGAGGCAAAAATTGAGACCTAAATGGGTGAAGGAGGGTGATAGAAATACAAAGTTCTTTCATGCAATGACAAATGGTAGAAGAAGGAAAAACCATATTCCTAGGTTAGTGGTGGATGGGAAACAACCACCCAACAATGAGATAGATGGGGTCTTTAAAGAACATTTCAGATATATATTTTTAGAAGACCTTTGAATAATAGGGTGTGGGTTAATGGATTGGAGTGGTTGAGGCTATCAAATGAGGGTAAAGCTTGGTTGGAGAGGAATTTTGAACAGGAGGAAATAAAAGAGGCTGTATTTTATTGTTAGATAGATGTAAAGTTCATGGGCTTGATGGATTCACCATGTCCTTTCACCAAGATTGTTGGGATTTTGTAGAGAGAAGAGATGTGTTACTATTTACACCCTCAAATTTGACATTTATATTTTGATAAAAAATTACAAGAAAGCCCTCATTTGGGTGCCCAAGTACAAATAGATACTAAAAAGACCAAAAACATCTTGCCCAAGCATTCTCAACACTCTCCCTCAAGCTGAGCATATATGTCAATCATGCCCAACTTAACAAGGTTCTTGACAAACTTTGTATGGTGAGCACCTTTAGTGAGGTAATTAGCTAGTTGGTCTTCCAACCTTACTGTTAGCGTAGGGGTATTTCTGTCTTTATACCTTGGTTGATGTTGATGATTTGTAGTGTTGTGTTGGAACATGTGCTCTTAACTTAAGTAAGGGCACATAGGTCTTTTCAGTCTTGTTTTAATWATAATATAAATACTTACTGGCCGACTGGGAGAAGTCAGGTTGACTCTGTCAGTTCGAACCAGAATTCTCTCCTCTCTTTCTTTCTCTCTCTCTCTTTCTCTATCACCTTTTTTTCTTCTACATAACTGAACTTAGTCAGGCCGAACTCTAAGGCAGACCTGAATTTTAACACTTACAAAAGGTAGGCAAATATCTCTTCTAGCAATCCTTTCTCTAATGAAGTATCTGTCTACCCCAATATGTTTTTTACGGTCATGCTGAACATGATTGTGTGCAATGTTTATGGCTGGTTGATTGTCATGGTACAATCTCATTGGGGTATCAACTTGTATGCCCATCTCAGTCAATAAGGTCTTCAACCAGAGTAGTTTAGAACGAGCAACAATTGGTTGTTTCTTACTTCTCCATGAAACCACATTGTCTCCAACTAAAAGCACGATAACCAAGTGTAGATCTTCTATCATCAATGGACCTTGCCTAGTTGGCATCTATGTAAGCCTCAATCTTTAGGTGACTATTATCGGAGTACAACATTCCTTTACTAGGACACCCTTTCAGATAAGCTAAAATTCTATTAATTGCTTGCATGTGAGATGTTCTGGTTTCATGCATATATTGGCTAATCGCTCCAACAACATAAGATATGTCAGGTTTTGTCAGAAAAAGATATAGGAGACGACCCACTAATCTCTGATATTTTTTCTCTGTCTGGAAGAACTTCTCCTTCAGTAGCACTCAACTTATGGTTAGGATCAATTGGAGTTTCTACAGGCTTGCTCCCTAATTTCACAACTTCATGGAGCAAGTCAAGAACATACTTCCTTTGTGAAGAAAGATTCTCTTCTTGGATCTTGCAACTTCAATGCCTAGAAAGTATTAAAGATCACCAAAGATTCTTAATCTCAATTTTGAAGCAAGGAAGGATTTTAATTAAGAGATACTTGTAATGTCATCACCTGTCACAACAATGTCATCAACATGTACCATCAACATTGTTATTCTGCCATCAACTCTTCTTATAAAAAGTTATGGTTTGCTTGAGATTGAGAGAATCCAATCTTTAAGATAACATTTCTAAATTTGTCAAACTAGGCTCTAGGGGACTGATTGAATCCGTATAAAGACTTCTTCAATTGGGAAACTTTCCTCTTCACTATTAGGAAGGCTTACCCCAGGTGATAAGTCCATATAAAGTTCTTCCTATAGGTCCCCATTAAGAAAGTCATTCTTTACATCCATCTGATATAAAGTCCAAGAATAGTGGGCAGCACGAGACATGATCACCCGAATAGAGTTCWTTTTAGCCACTGGGGCAAAGGTTTCAAGATAATCAGTGCCACAGGTCTGAGTGTATCCTTTGGCCGAGCCTTGTACCTCTCAATTGAACTATCTGCCTTGTGCTTAATAGTGTACACCCACTTGCACCTAGTAGGAATCTTATCCTTTGGACAAGAAACAATCTCCCAAGTTTGGTTCTTTATTAGGGCCTCCATCTCTTGGTTCATAGATTCCTTCTAGTGAGGGATTGCATTGCCTCTGTAAAACTGCGAGGGATGGAAACAAAAGAAATGACAAAAATATAGGCGCAATAGGAAGGTGAGAGAGCATCATAAGACACATAGTTAGTAATGGGATTCTTGTTGCATGTCCTCTTTCCCTCTCGGACGACAATAGGAAGACCAAGGCTTGGATCAATAACAAAATTATTAGGGGGTGCAAGATTACCTGAGTTTGAGAGATCATATTTGTGATGGRCATTTAGCTTTAGGAGCCACGCTCTTACTGTGCCTGATGAAGAACTGCTGCCAGGGCCGAGGCTGATACATAGGAGGAGGAAAAGGAATACCATTGTTACAAGGATGAGAGGAAGGGGGAGGTATAGGGATAGGAACAAGAAGACAAAAAGGGAGTCCGATCTTCACTTGCATTCTCCCCTTGAACGGGATGACTGGAAAAAGGAAGACTCTAGAAAGGTAATATCCTTAGAAACATATCTCTTTCCAGAAAGAGGATAAAAAGATTTGTAATCTTTYTGGATAGGGGAGTAACCATGGAATACACATTTGATTGATTTTGGATCAAATTTATGTAGGAAGGACTCGTATCATGAACAAAGCACATATAACCAAAGATCCTAAGGGGTAAATTAAAGAGGTTCATTAGGGAGGAGAAGCTGATGAGGAGACTAAAGGTTAAAGACCCTTAATGGAAGCCAGTTAAGGAGACACACAACCTTCTTGACAGCATCACCCCAAAAACGGGTAGGAACATGAGTTTGGAACAATGAACCTTGAGCAACTTCAACCACATGTCTATTTTTCCTCTTAGCAACCCCATTTTGTTGAGGAGTGTGACTACATAAACTCTGGTGAATAATTCCCCAGACTTGTAATTTGTTTAATTATAATTCTAATGAAATTCTGTTATTGATCACAAAAAAAAGAGCCCAAAATAATTGTTGCCTACTTGCCCCTTGCTTTGCCAAACTATTTGTTGACCTTTGCACCCATTGTGTTTCAATCTGTATGTCTCCTCAATGTCATTCCCTTTTCTTTAAATGATGTATTTTACTACCTTGATTGTTTTCAATGATGTGCAGGCCTCATTCATTGATTTGAATTTGACATTTTTTGGGTGAACATGGATCTAAATGCAATTTCTTAATTCTATGTCGGAAGAATGCATTTGAGGACACTTGAATTGTATGAACATGATTGCCTTTAGTGGACAATCATGATTTTTGTATGTGATATTTGAATGTAATTTTTGGTTTCCTTGTCAGGAATATCTTTTTGATGTGAAGAACTTAAGATTATTCTGGGCAGGTTGCAGGGGGTGATGGCACAGTGGGTTGGGTTCTTGGAAGTCTTGCAGAACTTTATAAGCACAACCGAGAGCCAGTTCCTCCAACAGGAATCATTCCACTTGGTACTGGCAATGACCTATCTAGGAGTTTTGGTTGGGTAAGAATTTATGTTACATGTGTTTTTTGATATAACTGCTTTATTACCTTGTTGACTTGTTTTCTTGTGTATTTTTTTTTTCAGGGTGGTTCATTTTCATTTGCATGGAGGTCATTTGTGAAGAGGTCTTTGCATAAGGCTGTTATTGGTCCAATTTGCCGTCTTGATAGGTAATTTCTTTTTATAGGGTAGAGTAAATAAATGTTTGTCTTGATCCTTAATTCTTTGTTTCTTGGTAATGAAATGGGACCTTGCATTTACTTAAAAAGTATTACACTAATAATACAACATATTACATGGGGGAACTGATTTGACAAGTATTTGTTCTAGAAGACATTTTCTGCCTATGGTATATAAGTTATTTTTTCTTTTTCTTTTTGAAAGGTAGAATTTTACTAAAGAAGGAAACTAGAAACAATTAACAATCCCCTCATGAGATTTGATGGAGGGGAGGAAGATTGTGGTGGTTTGAGTGGATGTTAGGAAGGTGGGGAAGATGGAGAGGATGAATGTCCTCTAGGCGAGTCTAGTTGGGGGACTTGTGGAAAGCAAGCTCGATGCTGAAAAGATTGAAGCTTGGGTGGTTTTGGAATGGAGAAAGTGAAAGGGTGATTGAGTGAGGAGACTAAATGGCGGTCTCTTCTTGTTTATGTTTCACAGTAGAGAAGCTGCGGACTGGGTTCTGGGTATAGAAAAGCAGAAATCCAGAGATATTGATTTACGGTTGGGGAGGTGGTTCTCGGCAGCTGGGATGAAGTGATAGAAAGAGAAGATGTGCAGTATGGCTTGGCGTGGTAGGCTTTCTTCTGCGTGTGTGGAGCATTCTTGCCTTTCAGGAGTTTTGGGAGTGCTGTGGGACAAGCCAAACAAGGGATTCAAAGACAATCTATATTCTGGGTTGGGTTGTAATTAGTGGTTTTTTCCTTTCGGGCTTCTCCTTCTGCGCACAACTTCTTGTTGTATATGCTTTTTTAATTTAATCAATAAATAACTTCTGAGTTGCCAATAAAAAAAGATAATAGCAAAGAGAGAAGAATATGAGAAAGAAGTCCCCCTATTAAGGTAGCAGTAAAAAAAGACCCTGGTAAGGTAGCAGTAATAAAAAAGACTTATGAAAGACTATGAAAGAATAAACTAAGCCCATTGCCCAATGATGGTAAGTCCATAAATAAATAAGAAACATAAGAAAGAAAAAATGGCAACTAAAAACAACCAACAAATCTCTCTATATTTCTAATGAAATTCTGTTATTGATAAAAAAAAACCAACAAATCTACTTCTTTAACTACTTCCAATAGTCTATGGCTGGTGTATAACATTGCATTGAAGTTTCTTCTCTTGAAATTGTTGACCATGCCACATTTTCCATTATCTTAAGATGTCATCCATACAAAGGGGAGCAAGCATATTTACAGTCTTGAGCCAATGCAGCACTATCCTTAGAGTAATACTATGAACTTATGATTCCTTCCTTGGTGTACATTTTCCCATTAAAGATTCTTTCATTTCTTTCTTCTCATAATGTCCAAAGCACTGCTTCCCTTACCAATGCCTGTAATGGATTTATAATTTTCTTTATCTGCCAAACTTAGGTCTGTATTCAGTCTACCACTCCCAGGACCCTAGACAGCTCAGCCCAACATTCTCTAATGGCCTTTTTATCAAGTGTATGCTGGGGATCACTTTCCTTTAGGAGGTGAAATGATCCTCAGTGTCAGTATTCATAGCTTACATGAAGAATCAGAGATAGAGGAGCTCTTTTAGGTATGCTGACAAAACTCCAAATCATAGTCACAGTGATTATTAATGCAATGTAATGAAACTAACCCTTACAATATCTATATTTCAAAGGGTATTGTGTTCAAACTACTTAGATTGCTGTTCATAGTGCCAGAGTTACAAATCATTTAAAATAAGAATATTTTTTTACAAATTCCCTTGTAGTTAGTACCAAAATAATAGATCCATCCAACATCTATTACCATTACTGGTGTTGTTTACTCTGGGTATGTGTACAATAAACCCATTGCAGAGTTATTGCATTTATATATTTTTCTTTTCAGTTAATAAGAAATGTTCGATTTCAGATATGATTTTATCAATCTGGAGTCCCAACACTTGTCACTTTTTTCTCATGATTCATGATGTATAAACTTTGTCAATCTTTTGAATTGGCACAGTTGGCGCATTCTGGTTGCAATGCCGGCTGAAGAAAGTGTGGAACTGCCTCATTGTCTGCACTATTCAGAGGAGTGTACTCTTGATCAGGTTGTAAATGCTTTTCCTTAATATGAATTAGTTGACTGTTTTTTCAGTTGTTCCTACCTAGTGTTTAGTCATTGTGAATGTAGTATCTTATAGATGAAACTTCTAGTTTTGACATCGTATTAGGTTTGTATATGATGGTAGACCAAGTTATATGAGCAGAATAGAGAGGTGTAAGAACAACTATAAATAAATTTCATGTTAAAGGTATGAACCATAATAGGGTTGGCCGGACTGTTTGATAGTAACTATGAAAGATTTTATTAATAAGAACTTATAAGAAATGCAAAATGTAGAAAAGTTAGTTGATGTATTGGACAGAAGAAAACAAAATAATAATTAAGGAATATTGAAGAAGAGATAAAGAATTGTAGAGACAGAGACATTAGAGATCTTGAACATATTCTTTTTTTCTTTTTTAGTAAAGAGACTGGGCTGGGTGGGCCTTAGTTGTTATGGGCCTGTCATTAGTTTTTCTTTATTGTGCTAAGCTAGTCGCCCTATTGAGGGTATCATTGTAATTGTCCCTCTAATTTAGATTAGATGTAAGAAAAGAATTTAGGAGACTGGAGAGAGGATCGATTTATATTCTTCTCCATTTCCCTCTTCTCTAAGCTTATTTCACTCATTGCTTTCTTCAAATTTTATCAATTTATTACTGTTTCTCATTCATCTCTAATCTCTTGGTATCAAAGCAACCAAACCCTGTTTTTCCTTTTTTCTTTTCATCCCATTCACACTTCTGTTTGAAGGGTGTATGGAGAACTAGTTTGAGAATAGTCCATGATTTTTGCAGCCAAGTTGGAAGAAGGGTTTTGGAGAGGTTCAGATCAGTTTTGGTTGACCAAGAAGCTTCTTGGAGATGAAACCCTAGCTGACTAGAGAAGAATTCAGGTTGAGGATTGTAGAGAACACTGATGTGGGCCCCACTGCAGTGGTCCCACTGTGTTCGTAGGACAGCATGTGTAGTTATTTGTTCCAGTTATAGTAGTGTCAGTTTGAGTCAGTTTGTTAATTCAGTTGTTATTTATTTCAGCTTTTATTTACTTTATTTATTATGTAAGT